CTTTCTGCTGGCAGCAAAAAGGAAGAGGCAAATAAGTTTTAATGACTGATTAGAATGTGGAGAACAGAAAGCGCGGGGTAGATTGCCTGGAGGGAAACACAGCTGACATAGTTGCCCTAATACATGCTGTAGCTTCGTTTTGGCTGCCTGTTTAGGGTGTGCTAGAATGTACCTTTCTTCCAAATGTTCCTCAGACAGGTGCAGCTATGGCATGAGTAACTGTTTTCTAAAACACTTTGTACTTACAGAGATATTGATAATAAAATCAGCCCATTTTACTGTGTACTTGTTGCGAGTTAGTGCTGTGATTAGCATTTGATAAGCAAAGGTCTTTCAAGCTCCAAAACAATTCTATAAGGCAGCAGATACATTACTTACCTGTAAGATTTAGGTCACAGATCTTGCCCAAAGTCACATAGTCTTTTAGGTCATATTTAATGATCCATACTATGTGTCTGATAGTGTTGTGGGACCTACAGATTTCCATTAGTGAATGAAGCAAAAAGATCCCTACTATCTTGGAACTCACATTCAAATGGAAGGAGGCAAAGAATAACAAAAAACCAAGAGAATATCAGCTCAGGACAGGACCGTGAAGAAATAAAATAGGGCTCTGGCCGGTGTGGCTCAGTTGGTTGGATGTCCTCCAGTGCACCAAAAGGTTGCTGATCGATTCCTAGTCAGGGTATATGCCTGGGTTGCAGGCTTGATCCCCATTAGATTCTTCTCTCACATCAGTGTTTCTCTTTCTCTCTCCCTCTCCCTTCCTCTGTCTCTAAAAAGTCAATGAAAATATTGAAAATAAAATAGTGATGGGATAGTGAGTAACTAGGGATTTAGTGGGTGAGTTGTCAGTCACAGCCCTCTGTGCTTAGAGGGCCTTTCTCTTGGTTTTATCCTGTTACCACTGTGTTGAAATTCTCAATACATTTATCTTTAGATTTGTGTTTTTTGTTTTCTTTATTGATTTTTTACAGAGAGGAAGGGAGAAGGATAGAGAGGTAGAAACATCGATGAGAGATAGACATTGACCAGCTGTCTCCTGCACACCCCCTACTGGGGATGTCCCCGCAACCAAGGTACAAGCCCTTGACCTGAATCGAACCAGGGACCTTTCAGTCCGCAGACCAATGCTCTATCCACTGAGCCAAATCGGTTTCGGTGAGATTTGTGTTTTGTAAGCAGGTCTGATAGAACACTGGAGCCTGTGGGTAAGCAGAGGACATACAGACTCCATTCTTTATCACACCATTCTCATATGGGTTTCTTGATATCCTATGAGCATAGCATTCTGGTTGATTCCTAATGTGTGGGAGTTAAGTGAAATTCAAAGCCAATACATGAACTGGGTAAATGTGTTATGTTTACAGCTAACTAAACAGGGGATGCTGACAACTCAAGAGGCTGTGTTCCCCTCAAACCAGAACTTAATTTCAAATGCAAAGAGAAGGCAACATTTTAAGAAACACAATGACCAAGGAACCTTATCTTATACTTTCCTACTCATTTACTGCCCTGTAGCTGCCAACTACCTACTCTGAGAATGATGATGCAAAAAGAAGGCAAAGACAGGAAATGGTGGTTCCTCTTCCTTTCAGTTCTTCCTGAGTCATCTGAAAGCCAAAGGTAGAAAGTGTTAGTAGAATGTAGGTGTGTCAAGAAGTGAAATAAAAACAATTGAGTTAGTTTTGTGCAATGCTTTTACTGTTCAGTTAAGAATGAAATTCATATCTGTGTATGAAGTACACAATAGGAATTGCACAATTATGATAATTCCACATATGAATTAAATGCTCTTCTATACATACTTAAAACTGGCATTGCACCATATAAAGAAGAATGGTAAAATCATGCTAATAACTAACATTTTTAATTTTTCTTTATGAAAAATGACACTAAATAGCAAATAAGAAAACACCATGGCAAGCTGAACAAGAGAGATCAGAAAGATAAAAGTTTTATAGATCAGCATCTTTAACAGCATTTTTTAAATATTTTCTAACAGGGCACTGCATTTTCATTTTGTACTGGGCCATGCCAATCATGTGGGGGTGCTATTTTAGATTGATTAGGAGAGGTCTCTCTAAGGAGATAGCACTTAAGCTGACACCTAACAGACCAAGAGGAGCTAACCAGGGGAAAATCTGGGGAAAGATCATTCCAGGTAGAAGGAATAGCTAGTTCAAAGGTCCTAAGGCAGAAAAGAACTTCATGTGTTCAAGGAATAGAAAGAAGGGTAGTGTCACCAAAAAACAGTGGTTAGGACTTGGAATGGCAAAAGGTTAGAGGTTGGGGAGGCCAGAGTGTGAAGGGCCTACACGTCTAGAAGAATGTATCCTATTTCTGTTAGCTGCCCTGGGAAGGTTTCAGGCAGGGGAATGACATAAATGTTGTTTTCAAAGGTCACCGTTATTGCAGTGTAGAGGCAAGCATGATTTCAGGAAGATCATCCTGAGTAATCTATACCTGAAGAATTCTACAAACTCCCTATGGAATTCATCATACTCTTGTCACAAATTCTATTATTGCAACTACAGATTTTCACAGATGTCTCCCTGAACTAGACTGAAATCACCTTGTGGATACTGACAGTCTATATATATATATATATATATATATATATATATATATATATAATATATATATATATATATATTATTGATTTCAGAGAGAAAGAGAGAGGGAGAGAGAGAGAGGACATTAATGATGCGAGAGAATCATTAATCAGCTGCCTCCTACATGCGCTCCACTGGGGATTGAGCCTACAACCAGGTATGTACCCAGACTTGGAATCTAACTATATAGTTGATGCTCAATCATTGAGCAACCCTGGCAGGCTGACAGTGACAGTCCAAATCCTCCTCAGATCACCAGTGTGCAGCACTGTCTGCATATAGCAGTTGCTTATGAAATATTAATGGAGTGACTAATTGCAATCGGATTTAAACCCCTCTTGTGCTAAGAGGTTTTCCCTTAGGGTTTTCTTCAACCTTAGATACTTATTAGATAAGCCTTAAGGAAAAGGATTACAGCAACTATAAAGGTATCTGAAGTAAATACACAAATAGAGAATTAATTTACAAATTTTGAAATTTGGGAGAAAATTATTGACTGGGTCCTCAATGGGAATTTGAATTTTTACACTTCCTCTTCTTGAACCCATGTGTAATGCACTCAAAGACACAGCTGTATTGGTGCCAATGCTTTGGTCAGAAGTTCCAGCCTGATGGCTGGGGACTGAAGTGGGCCCAAGACATATTTTGATTGGTTTACATGGCATATAAATATGGTACTGAATTAGTTATTGATGTGTATTTAAAAGAACCAAAGGAGTTTTCACATACAGGTCTGTTTTTTCTCTATCTCTTGAGAAGAAACAAACATGCAAGCAAAAGCAAAGCTTGGCAGTAATGGGCCTGCATCCCAGCAGTCTGGTGGGGGGGGGGGGGGCACCTGAGGAGGGAGCCGGTGTTCTCTGTTCTACTTTGGTCCTCACCCTCCTGCTCCACTCACTAAAGCTACCTGTCAGCCTCCTGGTAGCATTGGTGCAATTTGGATACTCTCATCACTGCTCTCTGCTTCCCAGCTACGCTACACATTTAAGACTCAGGGGTATCAAGGTGAAGGGACAGAGTAAGTTTAAACCTGCAATTATACATCATGTGGACATTCACTTAAGAAAACATTTCTCCTTTGTCCCCTAGTATGCTGCCATATTTATGCTGGGTGGGATGATTAGATGTGCGATTTTCGATCGCAGGTACTCGGCATTGTACTTTTATTTGGATGGTGGCATTTAATTTGTCTGTTTTGTTGTCCCCACCTGTTTATTTAGAGAACTGTATGGACAGTCCACAAAGATACTACCGGTAATAAAGGCCGTTTCCCCAGAGCTATCTCAAGGCACTTGGGAGCACAACAGTCAAAAGCAGAAACCACAGTGGGCCAACACGGATAGAAGCCTGGCTTTGGGAGGAGTTTTCTGAAGGGCAGAGGGAAAGAAAGACCCTTTGGAAGGATTGGCTGCACAGCGGGTCTTGGTGGGTGTTCGGATCTGGGAACACTTGGCAGCCCCAGGGTGCGGTTCCTTTACCAGGCTACCAGCGATTGCACAGAAACGCATTCAGAGTCTCAAGAGTCCATCATTTCCACATCCCACCGCCGCTGGCACATGGGCGATGGGTGCGCCGCGGAACAGGCCCGCTGCCCAGAGACAGCGGCCCAAGCGAGAGCCGGTTCAGCACGAGTGACCGCTTCCCGGGAGGGAGGGCGAGCAGCGGGGGCTGGGGCGGGGGGTCAGAGTCCAGGCGGAGAGAGGACAGACAATAAGGCTGAGGTGGCCACAAAGCCCAATGAATAGCAGCAGCGCGGAGGGCCGATCCCCAGCGTTCCGTAGGTGCCCACTCAGGCTCTGCTGTTAGGAAAGACTCGGGCCCCGGGGCGAGCGCCGCCGCGTCCTCCCCGCAGAGCCCGCGGGGCGCACAGACCGGTGGCCCCGGGGCGCGGGCAGCGGCGGCCGGGCGCCCTCCCCGCGCCTCCCCGTGGCCGGCAGCGCCGGGCAGTGCCAGCCCAGGGCAGGGCGCGCGCTGACGCAGTGCGGCCACCGGCCCCGATCGCCCGCCGGGGGGGTGGGGTGGGGGAGGCGGCGGCGGGAGCGAGCCGGCCCCGCAGGCCGCGCCCCCGGGGGGCAGGGCGCGCGCACAGCGCCGTCCGGAGGCCGCGGGCGGGAGGCCCGAAGCTCCGCCGCCGCCGCGCTCGCCATTCAAGCGCCGAGTCCCCGCCCCAGAGCCGGGGTGCGCGGGGGGAGGGGGCGGGCGCCGCCGCTGAATCACCGCCCTCCGCGCCCGCCGCAGCGCCGCCACCTTCCCATTCAGTCGCCCAACATGGCTGGAGCGCGGCGGAGGTGAGCCGGCCGCCCCGCCGCTGCAGCCCCTGCGCCCCCCGCGCCCCAGCGCCTCCGCCCCGCGGTGCCCGGCCCAGGCCCGCTGTCCGCCGCCGGCATGTGGGGCGCCCCGGACGAGAGCTCCGTGCGGGTGGCTGTCAGGTGAGCACGGACGCCGCGGCGGGCGGGCGGGCTGCGGGGACCGGCTCGGGTCCGGCCGGGGCACCGGCAGCCGCGATGCGGGGGCCGGAGGGGCGGCCCGGGGCGGGGGGACTCGGGCAGCCGGGTGCCAGCGGCTGGGCACGCACGGCCGGGCGCTGGCGGGGACCCCCCGGCGGTCCCCGCGCCGCCGGCGTTTGCAGGTGGCGGCGGCTGCGCGGCGCCGGGGCCCCGGGGGCTCTGCCTCCCTCCGGGTCCCGCACCCTCCCGGGGCCATCGATCGCCCACTGGGCTTTGCCTGCAGGAGCACCCACTCTCTGCTGGGCTGGGTGCTTTGTTATTATTATTATTATTATTATTATTATTAATTATTTATTTCGAGAGCGTCTGTCATACGTGTCCATACAACCCTGCAGGAGCACCCTCTCTGCTGGGCTTGGTGCTTTGTTATTATTATTATTATTATTATTATTATTAATTATTTATTTCGAGAGCGTCTGTCCTACGTGTCCGTGCAACCCTGGCCTCCTCCTTGAGGCAGGAGACAAAGCCCCGGACTGACAGCGTTTCCCCCGGCAGGTTGGGGGTGTCCATGCAAATGGAAGCCTCCTTCGGCATCACTGCCAAGTGGATAATGGCACCAGCGTGTGCGTGTTACAGCCACATCTGGCTTCTGGCCTCTGAGGCGTGGGGATGGGAGTTGTTTTTAAGATGAAAATCGCTGGGGATAGGTCCAGTAGAAGAAAGAAAAGCCGTCAGCAAGTGGAAGGGTTTAAAACATGCGTTACGGAGTGAAACGTCCCGAGGTTCAGCCGGGTGGAACCAGGATGAAATTAGACATGCCCGGGTGTGAATTTGGAAACACCTGGATCCCTCTGAACCGCATGTTGGTCCATGACAGACACACGAGTGTTGAATGTAATTTAGACCGTTTTGATACGTGTCAAAAGAAGCAGAGCCCTGACAGTTGCTCATGGAAAATTGCAACATCATCCCTGAAATATTAATGAAGCATTCACGGTGGAATAAGTGCGTGGCTTACACAGCTCGGACAGAACTGCTACTGTGAATTCGCTTCTCTCTGTGGGCACTTTCAGGGTTATAAAAATAATCTGTTTTTCTGGTAAATTGTGCTCTGAAATCCTCCATTCTCGTGGTCTTTCGGGAAAGTCATTTTGCAGACCCTGTCATGTCAGCATTCCTAAGTCATTTTCGTGAAAAATCTTGATGAGGCATAGAAATGGTAGTTTTATATATATATATATACTTTGTATCTTTAAGCAACTTTAAAGAATGAAATGAAATTTAAAGATCTTTTTACATGCCCTTTACAAGACCAAGAAATGACCACCCAGGGAAGTGACAGTTTTATGAGTTAGAATCACCTGTTACAAAGCTTTTGAAGTTTGAATTTGGCCTTCTTGGTTGTTCTCCACCTACTTATCCAATTGTTGGATTAGTCTGTTTCTCCTCTTTGCTGCTATTATGTCTCTTTTGGTCTTTTCATTCTTATTGGTGATGGTACCCTGGCAGAGGAAGGGAAAAGACAGAAAACCCAGTAAGATAATTTTGTTAGTTAGCTGATCTGGTCAAGCAACATGGCCAAGGAGCATACAGTAGTAATGGAAACATAAAATTTGGCTGCGAGAGAAGCCATTTTTACAGATTTAAGATTTTTATCTGTGAATTCTCTAGAATCATCATAAGGCCATGTGTTGGCCGTCCTATTAAATCTGATTCTGCTTTGCAGTGGAGGTGAGCAGAACTTTGGGTCACCCTAAAGTGGTTTTGACATGCTCAATAGCATTTTGCAAGTGAATAAATGTGGTTCTGATTGCTGGTAAAGGTTTTATAAAACACTAGCAGTTTAGTAAGCCTCATTGTTAAGATTTTTTTTTCTTCATTAAATACATTGAGTAGATCCATTCTCTAAACTTATTTTGCATAGGATAGAAATAGCTTAGAGCACTTTGGTATTAATAAAGCGCTTGGCCATATATTTTTATTTACAACGAACATCTATTTGGCATATATTCCCATCTCTATTATCCAGACTTCTGAGCTATAATGGTTGGGCACCTACCATGTTCTAGGATCAGTGCTATGTGTTCAGATGTTTTATATCCTGTGAAATCTCACTTGTTCCTCGGAACAATCTTAGCCTTAGTTCCAGTCCTGTTATTATTATGGCCATTTTACAGATGAGACACAGAAAGATTAACCTGAGAGCAAGTGGCAGAACAAGAGTTCCAACCCAGACAGCCTGACTCCCTAGCCAAATAATTAACCATTAAGCCTACAGAGGTGAGCGCAAAGGCATGCTTTGCAAAGCTTTCCTTAGCATAATGTTACTTGCCTCTTCCTGGTTCTGTACTAGTTCAACTACAAATGAGTGGCTCTGACAGGTTATGCATAAATAGATGTTGCTAGAAAAGATAGAGAGGTCAGAGAGGACCCAAACTTAAGGCTAAAATATTTCCTCAAACTCTTTAATCTTTCCAGTGTCCTCCCAGCCTACCTCCAGTTTGTGATAAGCCTTATCAGCAGGGTAAATAAAAATCAACAAATAGACACACATCAGCAGAGCATTTAACTTGCTTTCCCCCTTCAATGTATAATGTCATAACAGGTAATAAGTAGGGTTGACTCTACCTATGTAAGTAAACAAAAATGTCATAGAGATTCTTGTGTTTTATTCCATATAGAGAGTTACCAGTATGCCAGAGCTAATGACTCTATTTTAGGTTTCTCAAAATAAGCGCATGGGTCATGTAAAGCTTTGAGGAACAGAAGTTGAACAGAAAGTTTCTCATTTAGGGAGAACATTTTTAATCCTATTTCTGAAAATGCCTTTTGACAGAGTATATCCGAGGTGTTCTGCAGGGTGTCTTTCATTGTGGTAGAGGTGGATTCAGGTGACAGCCACACCTCACGTTACCATGAGCCCTTGAAGTATGATTAATGCTTTTAATGCTGCCGAGCATACAGTAAATTCTAAAGGATTTTAAACATTGGTCCTTGATTTAGTTTTTGGAAAAATTTTATGTATGCTTGGAACAACTTGGTATGTGGAGCTACTTTTTTGACTGTCAAGTTGATGAAATCTAAAAACGGATGTATTTCTGATGAATAGCTAGTGTCCTAATTGACATGTGTAGAAGTGTAATGTTTGCATTGGATTTCAAAGACTTATGAAAACAAAGAATGCAAATATATCAATAATCTTTATATTGAATATTTCAATATATGGACTTAAATAAAATATTGTTAAGGCCGGCTGGTGTTGCTCAGTGTTTGAGCGTCAGCCCATGAACCAGGAGGTCATGGTTAGGGCACATGCCTAGATTTCGGGCTTGATCCCCAGTAGGGGGCATGCAGGAGGCAGTTGATTGATTTTGCTCTCTCATAGATGTTTCTATCTTTCTATCCCTCTCCCTTCCTCTCTCTAAACTCAATAAAAATATATTTTGAAAAATATTGTTAAAATTAATTTCATCTTCTTAATTTTCCTTTTTAAAAATGTGGCTACCAGAAATTTTAAAATCAAATATAGTGTTGTTCACATTACATTTCTATTGGATAGTGTTGCTCTATAATTTAAACAAGGTGAATAAATATAAAATAAAACTGTTGAAGCCATCCTATCATAGACTAAGATCAAGAAAATACCAAAATATTAGGTGCCTGTTTTTAGATGGTTACACACACACACACACACACACAGGATTAGATTTATTAGTAACATTTTCCCCCTCTCAGTGCATAGGTGTTGAAAGTTACTAATTATGTAGAAAGTTACTAATTAAAGATACTAATTACTCCATATGGTAACTAATTCTAAATCTAAGACATGATGAGATGGTGTATCCTTTTCCTTTCCCTGTTGTAACGCTAACGTAACATTTGAAAGTTCTTTCTTTTATAAGAACTTCAGCTTGCAAAAGGTATCAAGAGCTGAATGAAAGTGGAGACACAGACCATCGTGTTTTCACATCATTGTTAACAGACAGTATGTCAGTGATTTTTAACTAGTGTGGCACAAGAATTGTTAAAACATGCAACTCCTGACTATTTAGTCAGGGGCACTGACCTTGTTTCCCTTAGATTGTCAAATTAAAAAAATGACAACAGCCAACAGAAGCCCTCCAATGTGAATGAATCAAAATTATACCTGTGTTTTTTTGTTTGTTTGTTTTGTCAGATTGGCAAAAAATGTATTTTCTGTTGTGCTGCAAAAGTGTGGTCATTAGTCCATGTGCCGTGAGATGAAAAAGCTTGAACCTGGTTGGCCTGTGTAGTTGTGAGCTAAAATTTCTTTGCTTGGCTTTGGCAGTGAGCAGTACCGATCCCTGACAGTGAGCTTGGATGTTGTCTGATTTACTGTGTTTCACCTCACTGAAGACTTGTAACAAGTAGCATTGCTCAGCAGGCTCAAAGGCTCATGGGACAGTCAAAGGCTCTGTTACGAGGTCTGTCACTGGCCCTGATTTACAAATCGAACTCTCTGAACTCTTCTCTTTCCTCATGCTGAGGTGGCCATGTAATGGCATGAAGGGTTGTGCAAACGTTACATATTCAGTCCATTAAATATGTGATTTTTGTTGTTGTGTGCCTGTTGACAGGAAGGCACTATTTTACCATTTCTATCTTGACTTTTCCAACAATGTGTTGGGTGCTCTCGTTACTGAAGAGGAAACACTTGCTGGTAGGCTTTTGTGGTCTCTTTGTTTCATTCTGGTTATAATATAAATTAAATTTTATTTAATCTACGTAGAGACCCTATGAGGTGGGATGGACAGATGAATAAAATATTATACAGATGAGTAAAATGAGTTTCAGGCACACTGGCGACCTCTTCAAGATTTCTCAGCCACTGTGTAAGGAGAAATTAAACTCAAAATCAGGTTTCTGATATCTATTTCTATGTTCTTAAACATATTTCCAAATGTTTTCAAGACATCTCAGATACCAATTTCAATGTAATAAAGATCTTTCAAGCTGAC